CCAATCCCGTGCTCAAAGCAGGACCAACACCAACTAAATCATCCCAGCCAGGGCTTTGTCAAGCTGGGCCTTAAAAACCAATAAGGATGGAGATTCCACCACCTCCCTAGATAACCCATTCCAGTGCTTCACCACCCACAGGTGATAGGATGGTTTTGTCTTTTGTCAGTTTCTTAGGTGAGTTCATTGGAGAGCATAGTGATTGGTTTCATTCACATATTAGGGGAGTTAATACACTGGATGAAGTACACCACATGTTGTGATAGGCATGTATAGGGTCCATGGCTCTCTCACCAACAGAAGTTGGTCCAATAAAATATATTACCTCACCCACCTTGTCTGTCTAATAACCTGGGACCAACACAGCTACAACTACACTGATTTGTTAAAGTCATTTTGATATTACCTAAATTTTTCAGAGCTGTCCTTTGGCAGGACATTTCAAAACTGTGATTTTCATCCCAAATTGGGATGAAAGGAAGTTTCAAAGTGTTGGAATTTCCTGCAGAATGGAAATTCTGTGTTTTGACCAGCCCTAGTAGAGCCCATGGGGTAGGGGAGAGGGAGAGTGATGGCTCTCAGCTTCCAGGATCCACACTACGCAGACCAACATCTGTCCCTGGAGATCACTAGGAAGCCAGTGGTGTTCCTTGGCAGCAGAGGTATTTATTCCCAGCAGTCACAACCTGCACCAGCTGAAGTTTGGAGTGGTTTATAGGTGTTGCCCTTGTAGAGTACATTACAACATAGGTGCTGGAACCAGGGGTGAAGGGGTGCTGCCGCACCCCCGTCTTATAAATAAAATAAATAAATAAATAATGGAGATATCCTATCTCCTAGAACTGGAAGGGACCTTGAAAGGTCATCAAGTCCAGCCCCCTGCCTTCACTAGCAGAACTAAGTACTGATTTTGCCCCAGATCCCCAGGTGGCCCCCTCAAGGATTGAACTCACATCCCTGGGTTTAGCAGGCCAATGCTCAAACCACTGAGCTATCCCTCCCCCCCCCAAAAAAGGTCACTGAGTCCAGCCCCCTGCCTTCACTAGCAGGACCAAGTACTGATTTTGCCCTAGATTCTTCAGTGGCCCCCTCAAGGATTGAACTCACAACCCTGGGTTTAGCAGGCCAATATTCAAACCACTGAGCTATCCCTCCCCCTATCCCTCTTGAAGTGGTTTCCATTATATAGAGGGTTCACAGTTTGGTTCAATGGCTCTCAGCTCCCCACTATAAAAATTGTTCCAGCCCCCCTGCATTACCCCATAAAATCATTAAAGGCATAGAAGGTCTAGGACTAGCAAACCTCAACTGCAGGGAGACATTCAGTGATATAACAAAGCCACTCTGACTCCCAACCAAGGAACTAGAGTGCAGAAGCAGCTGTGATGGCACTCATGGATTTTATGGGCTGCCAGTGAAGCAGGCTCTCTAAAGCAGTGGTTCTCAAACTTTTGTACTGGTGACCCCTTTCACATAGCAAGCCACTGAGTACGTCCCCCCTTGTAAATTAAAAACACTTTTTTATATATTTAACACCATTATAAATGCTGGAGGCAAAGTGGGGTTTAGGGTGGAGGCTGACAGCTCGCAACCCCCCATGTAATAACCTCCTAACCCCCTGAGGGGTCCCGACCCCCAGTTTGAGAACCCCTGCTCTAAAGGTTAATGGGAAGCGGAGTATATGCTGAGATTTCTGCCACTTGCCACCTGCCTTGATAGGTCTCTCACTCCTGAAAACCTCTGGAATCCCAAAAGAGAGCCATTTCTTCATTGTTCTTTCATACTGTAGTGAGGTTTGTGTTCTCGTATGTGCTCTGCTGATCACACTATGACAAATGCAGCTGTAGGTGATGCTACACTGTGGAGTCAGGTAGGCTGAGCAGCAGTTTTGATAAATCTCTTTTAGCTACACGACCATATAGCATCATCTTGGAACTTCCTGGCAATAACAGTGTCTTTCGCGTAGGGTGACCAGACAGCAAATGTGAAAAACTGGGATGGGGGTGGGGGGTAATAGGAGCATATATAAGAAAAAGACCCAAAAATCGGGACTGTCCCTATAAAATCGGGACATCTGGTCACCCTACTTTCGCAGGAACCAAAACCGTGATGGCTCTCTGCTCACAGATTGCACCTACGCTGCTCTCTGGTGGAGGGACGCAGAAGTAAAGGAATGAAATGACTTCTGCATGCAAAAACAAAAAATCTGTACTCTCCTCAGAGGTCAGTTTTGAGCAACTCAAATAGTAAATAACTGCTTTATTGAGACATGTACATCAGCAGAGACAGAGAGAAGAAACTGGTCATCTCTGTAAGCAAAGGGAATTTTGTTTTCTGTAAGTGTAAAAGAGGGACAACCACACAACAACTACAGTCAGCAACAGGGGAAACATACATTATGCATGTTTCCTGTTTTTGTCCTGAAGGAAGCTCACGCTTCCCTTTCTATTACTACCTGGAAAGAGAGAAACATTATTTATTCCTTTTAGACATTAAGATTGGATTTTCAGCTGCCCTCAGCCAATTTCTAAAATGGCACCTGCAAGTGTTGTGCACTCACTTGTTTGCATATTCAAAAGCCACACAGGGGAGCACAGTGAGGCTGGATGGAACTGTCTAGCTTTGCTAAGAGACAGCGGGAGGAAACAGGACTATAATCTATGAGTTTCTGAACGGTGCAAGCAGCTGAGGGGGGTTATTGAGTGTGATACCCTAGGATAGATGGAATGTAATGGAGAAAAGTATTTGTTGACTTTTCTAGAGTGCTGCTCATCACTAGAGTATCTGAGCATGCCACTGATCATTTAATTATTTATCCACAGTGGGACAGCTTCAACAGGAGAGCTTCAGCCTGGATCTGGCCCCGCACAGAGAATAGGCAGCCAAACGCCTCTCTTCCCCCTGTTCGTGAATCACTCTGCAGCTTAGGCAGGAGACAGGTCTCTAGGCACATGCCCAGAAACAGACTCCTAGGCACCAAGGGAACTTTTACCCTGAACATATAGGCTCTGAGTGCGTTTAGCACCGACAGGGTTTGACTGGGGTTTTGTGCGTCGCAGCAGAGCCTAAAACTGGGAGTTAAGCACCTAAGTACCCTTCTGAATCTAGTCCTAAGTGACTTGCCCAAGATCACACAGAAAGCCTGTGGTAGGGCCAAGATTTGAACCTGATTGTCCTGAGTCCCAGTCTGGTGCCTTAGCAAAAAGATCATTTTCCATAAAATTTCTGTTAAGGCAAATTTCAGCTAAATAGCAGGACAAGATTTCTAACAATGAGATCTATTAGACTGTGGAATAATCTCCACAGGGCAGTAGGGGAAGTTCCATCACTTGGGAATAATCCTGCCCTGGCCCCCATGAGATGGACTGGCTGACCTAACGGGTCTTCTAAATTTCTAATTTCAGTGATTCTATGACAGCTTCTGTAACTGCCTGAATGGGCATGCAAGTGTGACGTAACTGCCAGCATTCCCACTGTAACTGCCTGAATGGGCATGCAAAGGCAGATTTAGTACTTAAAATAGTTTCAGTCATAAAATTATAACCCTAATTATACAGGCTACTTTTGAAATTCGTCCCTAAAAATGTGCGGAAGAAGGGTAAACTGTGGGGATATAACAGTAACCTTGTGGGAAATATCCAGCCCTTACAGAAGAGTAGAAATTTTCCAGCAAATAATAAATTCACTTAAAAATGCATTTTCCAGGGCACTGAAACTATTCACAAATTCACGTCAAATGCAGCAAATAGTTTTGTGCAAACTTTTTTTTTTCTTCAAAAAAAATTGAAATGTTTTGTTTCTGACCATTTCAAAACTAGAAGTTTTGACTTCATTTTAAAATGGTTTTGTTTAGAATTTTAAACAAATAGGGGGTGAAAAACACCCCCAAACAACTGAAAACTAAATAAAAAACTAAAGAAAAAAAAACCTTTGGGGTCAAAGGAAAGATTCATCTGATCCAAAACAATTTACTTTTTGGTTTTTCATTTCAGCCCCTGAACCAGTTGTTGTTTTTTTTCAGGGCAAAACTTGAACTGAAAAATCAGTTATTCGCTCAGCTCTACCAGCTCCAGTTTTCTAGTGTCCTGAGAGTGCTGAAGAGGTGAGAGAATTGAAGGAGCAGCGTGAGTAGGCTCCACTAGGGGTCAGTCCCTCCCATCCACTGCCTCTTGTTCAGAAGGAAAGGGGCTAAGAAGGTTGGACGGGGAAGGTGAAAGCAAGTAGGAGATACTATGAACAGTGCAAGCAAAAAAGGGCTGCAGTATAGAAAAAAAGGAAAATGGAACTGGCAATGCAGCTTTGACCAGGTACTCATACAGAATATGTTAAGGTAAATTATGAGGAGGCAGTAGTTACTTAAATGGAAGTTACATTAGGCATTTTTAGGGTGATCATGTTATTTCTACCCCTCTTCTGTAGGTAGCTTCTGAGCACTGGCCATACCGATGACACTACCAAGATAAAAGATCACATCCCATTACAAACTTAGGGCCAAAATGATTTCAATGGAGTTACACCAGCAAAGATTGTGGCTCCTTAGTCTTAATTCTGCCTTTTTTGTACACCAATTTCTTGAGGTTTGTTCCTTTGTTTGTCATAGGGAAGCCTGGAGTCTATCTTACTGGTGAGCATAGCTGTGATTTCTAAGATAACTTAATCATCTTCAGGCATTCAGTGCAAACTGCACAGTTCCATCTAACATTAATGGCTTACCTTTGTGGAGATAACTTCTAGGTTCTTAGCTCTAAACATATTGACCTGAGACTCAGCAATATCTGCTCGTTCCTCAGACTCCTTCAGCTCATGTTGTACTTTCCTGAATTTGGAGAGGTGAACATTGACTTGTGCATCCTGTAACCAAAACACAAAAGGAACTAAGCCCAAGGAGAAGTGACATCCTGGAATCGAGTATCAGAGCTGAAGTGGGCATCTCAGCAAATTGTAAATGAATGTTTGTTCCTGTTAAATGACTCACAGCCTCCTCAACTTGTCTCTTGTAGGATTTGACTTTCAACTGAAGTTTATCCACCAAGTCCTGTAACTTCAGCACATTCTTTTTGTCCTCTTCACCCTATTGAAAAGAGACCATGCCAGGTTACCTTTACGTTTTTGATGAGAAAAAAATATTTCAGGTGGATTTTCTCTTTTGCACCTGCCTGGAAAGTCAGCTACTTGATGCACCATTCATATTTCCGAATGCCTTGGATGGCATCTGCATCTCGTTTCGGCTCTCCTTCCAGCTCAGACTCGAGCTCTTGGGTCTGGGGAAGTAATTGAGAAATTAGGCACCAACTCTACTACAGGAGGCAGAGGCTGAAATTGTATTCTTCGCCACCAGCCTTCAGCTCCAGCACATACCCTGGACTCCAACTTCTGAAGCTGCTGCTTGCCATCCTTCAGTGACAGCTGCTCTCGGCCTCATCCAGACAGAGCTGCAGTTCCTTCACTGTCTGGTCCAGGTTCTTCTTCATCCTCTCCAGATGAGTGCTGGTGTCCTGTTCCTTCTTCATCTCCTCCGCCATCATGGCTGCCTTGAAAGGTAAACCACACAATGAACTCAGTAAGGGACTCGGACAAACAGATACAAAGATATGGGCAGTCTGAGGGGTTGCTTATGACTCCAGCCACAGGATTCCTGTTACCTTATTAGCTGCTTGCTGAATGCTTATTACTGTGACCTTCCACCTGCAATGGGATAGAGTGGGGATGCTACAGTCTTGATAATGGAAGCAAGGCATTTGCACAATCAAATGGACTCTACTCACAGGGTGTGTCGAGTATGTCAATATGTGTGTACTGTATATGTGCATACATTGTTCATGCAGAGACACGGACAACTTTTGTGGTTACCTTTGAGGTTGCAGAAAAGATTTAAAACAATATAAATGTTATTTAAAACAAAACTAGCGTGTGTGCAGCCTAGCATTTTGGTCTCCAAAGCTCAGACTATCCCCAGGGAAATTCAGGGAATATATCATAATAGGCCTTAGTGAGCAGTACAGCTACACTTGAAAAGAACTGATTCTAAAGTTACAAAGTACAATACAAAATTCCATGAAGTTCTGAGCTGTACGTGTAGGAATGGCTGTGTCTCATACAAGTGCTAGGTCAATAATTGCTCCACACGCCCACTAACTTCAGAACAAGGGCTAGCTGCTTAGGAGCTTCACCAGCAGAGCTTAGCTGAACAGGTATATTAGCTGCCTAAAGAGGTGATGCTAGCTACATATGGACAGGGCGTATTTTGTAAGCTGTGCAAGGCAACTAGTTCTGGGGAATGGTGATGGCCGTCGTTAGGTGCACAATATAAAGTGAACAAGTTAGCTGAACATTTAACCTGTGTGATAGACCCAGGCCAGTTGGGTACAGCAGGGTAGTAGAAGGTAGATATACTGGCCACTGGATAAGCAGTTTTCTGTTCCCTGAGTGACCAGAGCAGGGGCTGTGCTAGAGCAATCAGGAACCTGCTAGAACCAATTAAGACAGGCAAGCTAATTAAGACACCTGGAGCCAATTAAGAACATACTAGAATCAATTATGGCAGGCAGACTAATCAGGACACCTGGTTTAAAAAGGACCTCCCATCAGTTAGTGAGGGGGTGTGCAAGGAGGAGGGAGAGAGAAGGTGTGCTGCTGGAGGACTGAAGAGTACAAATGTGATCAGGCTTCAGGAGGAAAATCCTGCTGTGAGGATAAAGAAGGTGCTGGGGGGAGGCCATGGGGAAGTTGCCTAGGGAGTTGTAGCTGTCATGCAGCTGATACAGGAGACATTGTAGACAGCTGCTGTCCACAGGGTCCTAGGCTGGAACCCGGTGTAGAGGGCGGGCCCGGGTTCCCCCCATACCCCTCAACTCCTGATCGGACACAGGAAGAGTTGACCTGATCTGTGAGCAACACCAGAAGGGAAGGTCTAATTTGGAAAGAGATCTGGCCTGTCCCTGACGCACTAGGTGGGACACAGAGACTGCTGGGATTGTTCTCCCTTTCCCCCATGCTGGCCAGTGATGAGGTTAGCTGAGTGAACGGCAGGTTTGAGCCTCTAGCAGAAGTGGCCAAACTGAGGGCAGCCGTGAACCTCTGAGGCGAGCAAATCTGCAAAAAGCACAGGACCCACCAAGGCAGAGGAGGAACTTTGTCGCACCTGCTATTCTGTGAAGCCACAAGGGACCATTATTTCTAAATTGTGTAAATTTTTTATCTCCTTTCTTCTGAGTTTTCTTCCTTAGGAATTAAATCCAAGTATCAGCAACATTCACTGACTGCCCCTGGAGATGTTATGAGTTTCCAGACTAATATGTTGGCCTTAGCTATGTTTTTAACAATATTTATTATTTAACTTCTCTTTTGCAACTAAATACAAATTGTTCCATAGAATCATAGAATCATAGAATATCAGGGTTGGAAGGGACCTCAAGAGGTCATCTAGTCCAACCCCCTGCTCAAAGCAGGACCAATTCCCAACTAAATCATCCCAGCCAGGACTTTGTCAAGCCGGGCCTTAAAAACCTCCAAGGAAGGAGA